GGCAGAGCACTTGGGTACTCTACTTGATAGTTCCTCCAAGCTGAAGTGGACCTATTAATGAGTACTCTTTTGGTGCAGTCATTCAGCCAGCTGTGAATTCATCTAACAGTGGTTAGCATCTAGCATGTATTTTATCATTTTATAAAGTAGACTATAATAAGGCATTCTGTTGAAACCTTTCTTGAGGTCCAGACTATGTATCTGATCTACTAGTAACTCTGTCAAAGGAGAAGATAGTCTGGCACAATTTGTTTTAAACCTACACTGGCTCCTGTTAATTGCCTCATCCCTATCCAAGTGTTCACAAACATGTTGCTAGACAATCTATTCCAAGGACTCTGCCCAGTATAGCTGTCAAACTAACAAGGCTATAGTTTCCCACATTTTCCTTCTTTCCCTTTTCAAAGATGTAGATGACATTTGCTCTTCTTAGTCTTCAGACACCTCACATGTCCTCCAGGAATACTCAGTGACTACTGACCGTGGTTCTGGCTCAGTACCCTGGGATGTAACCCATATGGCCCTGGAGCCTTGAATTCATTTAAATTAGCTAAATTCTTTCTTACTCTCGCCTAGTCTATCCAAAGCTGCAGTTCCTTTGGTCTTCCAATGGCATAACAATGACCAGCTAGGACTCCACTTCCTTTCTGAAGGAAGATTGGGCACATGGCTCCGGAGTGTCAGCTGAAAGAGGAGGGACGGTAGGTGTTGGGAAGATCAATTGATGAGGCAGATGGGGGGCAATGGGATATGTGCTGGGGGAATACAGCAATTCCTTTTTCCACCCTGGTTCCCACCCTGCCATTGTTCCTTGCTGGCAGAACAGCTGGAGACAAAAGGATCTTTTACGAGTCCCTAATCCTGGTGCTAAGATGATGTCCCTTAAGTTGTCTTTGCAACTACTTTTCTTCTTGAAAGAAACAATCTTTTTCTCTGTAGTCAAACTCTGGAAAAGGAAATTAAAAAGGGAGGAAACTTTGGGTTTAATGAACATTCAGGTTTAACAGGTAGTCCTTCCCCCTGAATACTTCATGAAATCAAGATTTTACTGTACTTAATTTCAAAAGCTCATCTCAAAAGGCGACTACATGGACAGATCTTGGCAATAATATGGAAGTGGTTGGCTGCCACCTTATTTCAGGAATTCTTTTTTCAACTTCCCAGGCTAGGGTATAATCTTGAAATGGGTTTTCAGTTCTAATATTAATCAGATCCATATATGCTTAGCTTTTTCCAGATTAGCCAAGCTTAACCAGATACTGCTATCTGCTTTGGTTAGAAGGAATTAACATTGTTGGAAGTTGGAAATGGAATTGCTTGACTTATGTTTATGAAGATAATGGGTTTTCAGTTCTAATATTAATCAGATCCATATATGCTTAGCTTTTTCCAGATTAGCCAAGCTTAACCAGATACTGCTATCTGCTTTGGTTAGAAGGAATTAACATTGTTGGAAGTTGGAAATGGAATTGCTTGACTTATGTTTATGAAGATAATGGGTTTTCAGTTCTAATATTAATCAGATCCATATATGCTTAGCTTTTTCCAGATTAGCCAAGCTTAACCAGATACTGCTATCTGCTTTGGTTAGAAGGAATTAACATTGTTGGAAGTTGGAAATGGAATTGCTTGACTTATGTTTATGAAGATTCTCAGTCATCCAGTTGGAATTGTCTGGAGGTTGAGTCATGGCAACTGGACATGATACTGAACACAGCCACCCTGGAAGACTTTTAATGGGGTCCCCCCAACCAACTTTTTAGACTGCTTGAACAAGTAGTGAAATGTCTCTAACCAAAAAGAAAATAAGTCCAGTTGCCATGACTCAATCTCCCGACAATTTCTTGACTTCTACAACTAGATCCTTATTCTTTATGACTGATGCTAGAATGGCAGCAAGAATGGCAGAATTTGGGTTTTCTCATTGTTTTTTCAAACAGATAGTTCGCAGAGATCTCCCAGATCAGCTTTGATACCAAATATGAGTGAAATGGGATAAAAGTGGAAACTAAAGTAGTTTAATATTTTCTCTATTGTTAAGAAACAATCATAAATGCTTCATATTGCAGATTATACCTGACAAAGTTGCCCTATTGATCACTTAGTCTAATGGAATCCCAGCAAGGTGAATGACCCGAATAGCTTCTTCCCTCTGGCAACACAATCTCAGCACTTTTTTGTTTAATTTTAGAGTTCTAAAATTAAATGTCCGATTTATCATAAATGCATTAACGTTTCAGCACAGTCAGTCCCTACCCTTCTGATATTCAGAAGATGCTTAAGAACATTTTTTTTTCAGCAGGCCTTTGGCCCAAGATGAGGATTTTAACAATAATTTTCCTTATCCTTATACTTGTTTTTAACTTTTACTTCTTACTTACACACTTACTTGAAGACTGCGGTAGACAAGGCTTTTGATAATCCAAAGGAGTAATCACAATGGCCGCAAAAGTGTAAGTTTAGAGGAGGCGCACCACTAGATGGAGATGTCTGACTGAGACAATACTCAATTAGATTGTTTCCTATACGTATAATTGCTCTTCAAAAAAGCGTGTGCCTATTAGAAATTGAAATAATCCCAGTGTCTATATCTAATGAAAGTGTGTGCTTATGAAAAAAAACCCTGCATCTCATTTAGCATTGTAAATTTATGAATGAAATAAGAATAATAGTTTTCCTATTTAACTGTCTGCAATACATATTTTCTTAACTGATTAAAACTTATCCTCATTTTTCAGTATCCTTTCCACTACCTCGTATTTGAACTTCTATTTAACTTACTATGTAACCTCAAATTAATTCATGTATTATTTCAGAAGCAGTAATAATTCAGTTTTTAGCTTACTCAAAGAAGATGAATCTTATATTAAGGGAGAGATAGAAAGAACTTTATATTTCAGTACTATTTCATATGTATATATGGTTTAAATCTGAAATCAATTACTTTCATGTGTTCCATGAGCATTTTAATGTATACAGCACAGTTCAAGGAAAATAAATGAACAAGTTACGATTCACATTTTTAATTAAAAGATTAAATTCCTTCTCATAATGCATAAAGAAAACCATTTACAACAAAAAAGTTGCTGCAGACCAGCAGGATAAAAAGACCAGTAAAATATGCTTTGTATATCAGATGCAATGCTAATTATCATGGTTTCTGTGACACCAGGCAAGAACTATAAACATCAGTATTTTCTAAAATAAATAGTGTTCATTTCCAGAATTGCAATTGTATACTATTGCACAGAATGTTGTGAAATGTTCATTAGCTAGTTATCAAGTAACTGCATTCCAAGAATTCCTCATTAGCCTGAGCTGGGAGAGGCTGATCTACACAGTACTATGTGCTGAAGATGTCTCAGAATCTGTATGCCACGTCTGGCTTAAAAATAATAGCCACTCCACACACACTAGGTACTTGCAGAGCCTCGTTTTGATGGGGATGAATGGTTTTGTCAGCCTTATCAGGTAGACCAGACAGGGAACGCAGCCAGATAAGCTAATTCTACTTTATTTTAAAGTTCCATTAATAGAGTTTTGCAAGTCTGAAAGTACAATTCTCCTGCTGTCACGTTTACAGGCCGATAACTTAGGGAGGGTCTCTCCTGAGCCTTTTGCTCTACCCACTATGCAGCTGTGGGCTATGCTCCCTCTAATCTGATCATTCCCTAGGCATTATCTCTTCGCCCAGTCTCCCAAGGTCATTCCCACATACCATTACAGGTTTCGATGTCATAAAACCTTTCCTTAAAACTGAGATACATGTGCTCAGGTGCTTAGTTTATGTAATATGTTGCCCAGTCTCAAGTTAAAAATGTATACAGGTAGTCTTCGAATTGCAACGGCAATTCGGATGGGAATTTTTGTCGCTAAGCAATGCAGCCATGAGGTGTGACATCACGTGACCGCATTGCTTAGTGACAGCAATCCCAGCAGTCCTTGTTGCTGCCATTAACTGAATCCTACCAGTTGTTAGGTGAGGACCCACCCCAATCCAAGCCAATCATGGCTTGGCCCCTCCCAGCCCCGAGCCTTGGTAAGGTAAGGTACTACCTCCTCTGCAACTCCCCACACACGCCTATCTCCCCCCATCTCTGCCCTTTTGGACACCCTGCACTCCACCACCTCTGCTAGCCCTGCACTCCACTGGCCCTGCTGCCTGCACTCCACTTACCTTGCACTCCCCTCACCCAGCCATCCTGTGTTCCACTTGCCCTGCCACCCTTTCAAAGCCTTGCGAGAAAGCTGCACACAATTTGGACAAGGCCACATGTGGCCTCAGAAAGAAGACCTGGCATGGCCAGCAGCTCCTCATGAAGGGCCAGGCTGGGGACACCTCATCAGCAGGGGGAGGAAGAAGACAGCAAAGGTCAGCTGGGGTGGCAGGGCCAGTAGGACGCTGCAACGGTTGTAACTTTGGGGACCGGGTGTAACTACCATTCATTCAGCACCACCGTAATGTCAAACAGTCGCTGGACAAATGGTCATTAAATGAGGATTACCTGTAAAACTAAGCAGGCAACATAAAACAAAAACCTTATTGTCATCGATTATTTTACTGATAGTGCAAAAATGCATTTTTGCAAAGGTAATGTATAATCATCCTGTAAGAAAAAAACTGATACAGACGCATCAGCAACTTTTCCCTCTCACAGATATTTTGTGCAGAACATGGTAAGGCACAGGCACATTTCCAAGTTTACATTCTAACCACTCACTTCTAAATTCCAAATGTGATTTAATCAATCTCACAGACTAATATAGTAATCTATTTATAACATACTATGTTACATAAAATAATCTCACAATTTGATATGTAGTTGTCTGTTTAAGTACTGCTAAAAAAGTAGTTCTGATTCAGATCCAACTAAAACAATGTCAGAGTCTCTTTCCTCATTCTGATGTTCTATTAAAATCTACTCCTCTGACACTCATTCTTTGATTTTATCTCCCTCAGTAATAAAAATGAAGTTATCTGTCATTCAGTCTTTACCTACCTCTGTTCCAGTGCCCTTAAAATACATCTCCATTCATTTCATTACCCTCCATAATGTCATCAACCTGTCTCTAATTTCTCCACACTTGTACTACCTCTTGTATTTCTTAAACATTTGGCACACAGGCAAATATGGCTCACAGTTCCATATATGTCTACATGGTTCCTCACTTCACCTGCCAAGTCTCATAACTGCTTGAACATCCGTTATTTGAAAAGGGAATGAAATGATAATTACAAGTTGGAGGCCTATAAAGTTGGTCCTTTATATTTGCTTTCGTTTCTTTCAGATGCACATAAAAACTATTATTCATTCATGCCTTTGGTAGGATTTAACTGTGGCCAGCATCATTTTTCAAATCTATTTAATATACTGTTTTTAATATATAACTACATTGTATTGTGATTTAGCATCATCCTTAGTTTGTACTGTTTTTTATTTTTAAGTATGAATGGAGTCTCCTTACCAGTCTGCCAAAAAGCATTCTTTCAAGTAGACCTCCCCATTTACATCGGCATGAGGGACAAGAGTTCCATGCCCTGGGTCCCATACAAAGTTGCATTACCCAAAGCCCTTCCTTTCTGCTCTAGAAGAAAGCTTTTGACTTTGAAAAGACTGCAGAACAACTCCAGGAGAAAAGAAATAAGTTTTGCGCTGAGGTTGGGAAAAGGGTCACTGAGGGTATAAAATCACCAAGGTTTCACTTTCCTGCTACTAGACTGTTGCTATTTTTTGAAAGCCCTCTTGAACTGAATTTTGATGGCAAACTAGAAAAAATATAAAGGAAAGTGAATCTTTTTACAGCCTCCCCCACCCCCGCAAAAAGCTCTTTTGTTTATACTTTGTAAAATTTTTTGCATGTAAAAAAAACCCTTTGATTTTGAATAATTGGATTTAAGGTAACCTGGATATTGTAGTCTCTTCACTGAATGCATACTTAATGCATATAGCAGTTGTGAAAGGGTGATACTGATTATTATCAGGGTAATAATGAAGAATCATCAATAAAGAAGTTCCTCCCAACACAAAAAGTTTTTTCAGAACAATTTTAATCAGAATTACAGCAAGAGAGAGAAAAGTTAAACTAACCCCTGATGATCTAATAATTATCAACCACACTAGCTGCCATTTGAACATTTTAAACTACTATTACCTACTAGGACACATTTAACAATGGGTTTAGTTTGTCCTTAGTTGTAATTTCTGCTACTGTATCTTTTCTTCTAGCCTTCCCCTGTTTTTGATTGCAAACATGCTTTAATGTACTGGAAGTTTTCAAACATCAACTGAAAGCCATATTTAATGTAATGCAATATAAACTATTTCTCATTACAAACTAATACTTAAATCATAGCTGCAAACGTTTTTGGACCTTTTGAAAGGACAAAACCAGTAGAGAAGAAAAGGGTGGTCATACAGACAATACATATCCATGAACAATGTGTAAAGAGAAAACATTGGTATACTGGAGTTGTCCAGTAAGTTAAACAGGATTTCAACTGCCTTCATGTTTCACCCACAAAAATATCTGCCTCCTACATTTTCTAAGTTCTTGTAAAGTTCTGAATTACATGTGCTTGAACATGTGTTACTTTGTAGTTGCTGCCAAAAGACTGTATTTTTCTCCCAGCAACACTGGAATTTTCTGAAATATAATATGGACTATTGGGTATTTCTTGTTTTAAAAAGCTGGGAATCATTTTAACCTCTAATTTTAAATGAGGTTCTAATTTACTAAACATTATTTCTTCAATATCATAGGTATCTGCTATTCAGCACTGAATAGGTCCAATCAATTGTACAAAATACTTCTAGAGTGCTGCATGTTTTTCAAGAATGTAACGTTAATTTTTAAAGGCCTTTTAATTAAATATTACAACTTCTGTTTAAGAAATAACATGCAAATTTTCCATGCAAGTCCCCTGTTTTGTTTTTAATTCATGTTTAATTTTGCTAGAAATCCAAGCTCCTAGGTCTAAAAGAAGGTGAAAGATTTATGCGATCTTAAAAGAAATCAGACTAGCCTATTTATCTGATCATTTAAGTAAACATCATTTCAGTATGTATCAGTAGGAGGGAAAACTGGCTCATTGCTTCTTGCCAAATGAAAGTGGATTTTTGTTTATGAGATGTTCACTGATAAATCTAAAATGTCACAACTTGATTTGATGAGACCATTGAAGAATTCTTATGAGTAATTAATACATTGTCTCAGCAGCAGATTGGCCAATCAGCAAATCCCATGGAAATTTACAATATTTTTGTTTTAAAAAAACAAGATTTGTAATATCTGTGAACAAATAACGTAATTGGTGAAATATCAATAAAATCACTATAAAGGGGAATTCTTAATTAATGGCTGGCATTCAAAGAGAAGCAGACTAATTTTGAGGGGACAGACAAGTGGATAGAGAACAAATTGCAAATGTAATCTCAGCAGATGCTGTTTGCACGATTGCACTATCAGACCAAAAATACCCCATGCAATGCACTTGGGATGACCCCAAATCTGGTGTCCTCTAGATGGGCTGGGTTTCTGTTTCTAACAGCCCCCACCAGAATGGCTCCTCAAGCCATTGTTCTATAGCCTTAACAAATGCAAAGAGAGGTGTTCCCCATGCTGTTTCCTTACTCAATTTAGACACAGGCTGTTTCTGTTTCTTGTGTTGTTGTCTTCCCTTTCCTCTTCCTCATTTCTCAATTATCATATCATTCATACTTCTTCTCTCACATGCAGTAACAGCTCATCGGAGTAACGGCAATGACAGTAACTCTCTGAATAAAACATTCCACAATTACAATCCAGGAGAAGAAACTGAACCTCAGGTTGCTTTGGAGGCTCCATAATTAAGGTTAGACTAAATTTATCTAAACTTAGAAAAAGCAGCGAGACAAGCTAACAGACTGAAGCTCCTGTACTAGAGAGCAGCTGCATCTCCTCTCTGAAAAAAATTATCCCCAAGAGGTCAGATTCTCCATACCTGGGGTGTACTGGCTTTCTCTTAAGTGGCTGCAACTGTAGAGCTGAAGTAGCAAGTGACCTGCATGGTGGCCTTAATTAGAATGTATCAACATTCCCACACAGTTAGGGGTGCACAAGCAGAGTGGCTGACTGCCATACCCCCAGCTGGTCTGAGCTGACTGTCAATTCATCCTTTAGATCAGTGTTCCTCAATCTCAGCAACTTTAAGATGGGTGGACTTCAACTCCCAGAATTCCCCAGCCAGGGGGAATCCTGGCTAGGGAATTCTGGGAGTTGAAG